TTAGAGAAGTAATTTGCCATACCTCTTCTTAAAAAGAAACCCTTTGCCCTCCTTACACCTCTTTGGAATACCCCAGTAACAATTAATACGTATTAATTAAGTTCGCTTTCACGTCACGTAAGTATGACATTAATCTTGATCAACGAAGATGGCGAATGGAAAACTATCTCTTACACTCAAGTAAGTACAAAAGCCGCCAAAAACTGTCAAATTTCTGTAACTGAATTTGAACTTTATTTGGCTTGATATAAGATTAACAGCTGAGTATTGAGGAAATTTAACAGGTGTTGGTACCTTGATCTTTGTACACCAGCTGAATCTATCAATGACGCAATGGATTGTAATACGTTATACGTAATAACCCTAAAAGAAAAGTATCCATACACATGTCACTTTTACTTTTAATTCAAAAAAAAATATGCCGTTGATTAATTTCAACGGCCAGTAGCTGGTAATTTTAATTTTATAACCATGTATAAGTAAGAAATATCTCGCTGGTTTACGCACTCGTCGCACCGCCGAGGATGAACGATAAGCGAGTGGAGCAAGAAACTAGAAATTAGTTGGCGAGCAGCGAGAAGCGAGTGTTTAGTTCCGTTTTTTTAGTGTACATATATCATGTGCACGCGTTTTGACAGCCAAACGGGCGTCGCCAATCAAGTATTATCTTTGATAGCTCTTGTTGCTTAGCGATAAACTAGGAGCGAGATTTGTTTAAACGGAATGTACAAGTATATCTATTGAACCTTTCTTAAACGAGAATATTGCCGATAATAGTTAGTCGCTTTCTCGCCGGCAGTGGCACAACTGCCTTAACTAACCGTTTACTATTTTTTATCATTGTAAAAGCGAGATTTTCACGCTTTTGTGTATGCTATCTTTTATCACACTTGTTTTTTCGTCCTTAGCAAAATGAGTCTCAGAAAATATGAACTGTTTAAGATATGTTCCTATTATTGTGGATTAGTACCTGACAAATAGACGGACAGATTTCACTTTCTACTCACCAATTTTAGAAATTATATGTACACCATCTTAACTAGGGTTACCAACTTCTTTTCTATCAAATATAGTCTTTTCGAAGCTGTTACCTTCAAAAATATAGTAGCTGGCAAAGCAATGAAAAAAAAATTAGTACGTATGTGGTTAAAATATTTACTTCATTTCTGAAATGAATATATTTTGCTGCTCTTTACATTAGTAATTAAATTTTTATTTTTAAGAAAGCTTTTACTGGCCAAAATCTGCTTTAAGCAAAATATAGTAGTTTCGCCTACTATTTTTTTTTAGAAATATAGTATTTGATCCCCTAATATCGTAGGCTACTGTATTACATAGCAGGGCTGGCAACCCTAATCTGAAGTTAAAGGAAGCATGACAAATATGTTAAATACGCAACAGACGTCCGATCTTCATTTAGTTTTGCTTCTGACCAATCATGGCGGATGATCAGACCACACCAATTTGCCTCGATTCGTTGATGCAAATGCGCACAAATGTCATAGCCGATTGCAATGAATATAATCGTGTAGGCACTATCAGCAGCGTATCGGGTTACGACAAATTGTTTTTGTGTTTAGCATCTTCTTTGATTCTTTCATTTCTTCTTATAACAAAAATAGATCTTTGAAAGTTAGAATTGTTTAAGTATGTACCTATTATTATGGATGTATTGTGATACGAGTAGCTGACAAACAGACGGACAGCGGAAGCAATGTAGTTCTGTTGCTCGTATGCCCCTATAATATATAAAGAATGGAGTCCGCTACACATCCCTGCACCGCACATCTTCGCACCGTTTCCCAGATTCGCTACTAGTGTTGCCAGGTGTGCCGATTTGCGCGGGACGTCCGGATTTTCAGGGGTCTGGGGACGCGTCCCGATTTGTACCTGATCGGGACACTAAATGTCCCGATTAATCAAAAAATGAAATTTAGTTAATTAATATAATACTATACATGCACTAGTAGTTTAAAACGCAATAAATTAAACTCAGACTTAAAAACCCCTTGTTTTTTGTTTACTGTCCCGATCTGCAACCCAAAATCCCGAATTTTTTGACCTCATGTCCCGATTTAAAACGAACCGGACCTGGCAACACTATTCACTACACATTTTCGCACCATCTTTCTAGCCTAGCTGTTGTGGAAACACCCACACTATTTTACAGCGTCGCTTCACATTCTCGATCCGTTCATTTTCCTAACACATCTTTGGTGGAAACGCAGCCAAACACTACACTACCATTATACGCTAGCGTAGAAGTTCTAGACAGAAGTAAAACTACTAGTGAACATTTTCTTTAGATTTATAAAAATAGCAGTTAAATGCTCAAAAATATATTAATCACACTAAAATTATAAAAGCGAAAGTTTGTGAGTGTGTATGTTTGTTACTTCATCACGTCTAAACGGCTGGAGCGATTTTAATAAAATTTGTTATGGAGTTAGCTGACACCCGAAATTAACACATAGGCTCCGTTTTACTGCGGGAAAATATCCCTAATAAACCGCGGATAACACCGCGGGGCACAGCTAGTAACCTATAAGCAGGGTTGTTAACTTTAAAGGCTTGCGCAGGCAAGGGACAATTAATAGATCGATTAGAACAACTGCATCTATAAACCCTCGTTTGCACCAAGAAACAAATCATATACTAGTTTTAAACAAAACTTGTAGAATACTTGTTGTGACATTCTTTCGCTCACACGGCGGCATAGACAACGAGTATCTTTACAAGTATAAATCATTATTTACTTCACATAATATTTTGTGTATCCAACAAGTTTGATGCAAATGTTGTATACTACATGTTGTATACATGTATGATTTGGTTCTTTGGGTTTTTTGTACATGTAGACAACCTCCGTGGCCGAGTGGTGAGTGGTTTGTACGCCGGGTTTCACGGTGTCGCCGACTCGAGAGGTCCCGGGTTCGAATCCCGATGGGGGCAGCTTTTTGTGTGAGGAATACGAGCATTTGTACTCCAGTCATGGATGTTTAATATGTATTTCTATATAAATATACTTTTATATGTACTGTATATGTATTCTATCCGTTACCCTAGTATCCCATAACACAAGCCTTAGTGCTTAATATGGGGCTAGGCTAATTGGTGTAAAAAAAAATGTAAAAATGAATGTGAACAAAAAATTAAGACATTGTATAAAATTTGTTATATACATGTATTATACCTTGGTGTAAATGAGGGGCAACGCACACATCTCGTGTGCATTACTCCATGCAGTTGTAATCTATCATGCAGTAGTAGGGATCTATTAAAGAAGTACCTCGTTCTGCGCAGAAATAAGGCCATAAAGTGGAAAGAAAAAGGACAAGATAGAACGCCTCAATTTCAAGCGGTAAATCTGTACTCTGTGATAAGTCATCGTTTAATCTAGTTAGTCAGCGGTCATGACTCGTTGATTAATTAATTAGAGTTAAATTGACACGCTACAAGGCTCATCTACACGACATACCACTGTAGTTCCGCGGCTTCGAAAGATATATCTCGTGACATAGAAAAATTAACGCGATGTGACAACTCGCAGGCATCGCAAGGTCTATTAGACTATGGCAGTTAGATGTGTCTCTGATCCTTACATGGATATAGAGGTATAAGCTGTGTAAGGTATCTTGGTTTTCCGAATTTGATTTTTGTTTGAGTGAAAATAAGTGTTCTTGCGTTGAGGTGTTCTGCAGTGTTTTTTCTTTTCTAAATGCGACATTGGACTTTAGTGTGATGTGATGTTGTTTGGGTACATCTTTCATCGTTTTTTTATGTAAAATAATCATTGGGATTTTAAGTAAAATAACATAAGGGTAAAAATATGAAGATAATAAAGAAAATAATAAGTGTAAACTAAAAATTTTGTTAGATTAATTAGCATTTTAAATGAAGGCTAATTAGGTTTAACAACAAGTATATAAAATAAGTAAAAATAAAGCAACTTTCTTTTTACATTGATTTCTGGATCATAGAAAACACAATAAAGAAGATAAACGAAATAATATAGTTAAATGAAATTACTTATCTGAAAGAAGTATCCATAAAATTACTTTTTCATCGATTTATATGCCCAATAAGAAAAACTTTTCTGCAAACTTTCTCTTTGATGATGTCGTTTGTCTTTTATTTACAGTATCATGATATTGGTTGTTCAGCCTTAAATAATGTTTCTTTTGTTTTTCATGTGTATTTAGTACCATTTGGTTAAGAAAGATGGTGCTAGTGAAGCCTGGCAAAAGTTCGGGTATAATTATGTGCTAAATCGCGCTGTAGAAATTCTTTTATGTAATCCCATGTCCCTGTCAATCAACCCTCAGTAAATCAATCCTCAAGTAATACAGGGGTTGCACATTGGTATTGAAAACAGTATGTAAATACATTTCTCAACAATAACGACTCGTTTAAATTTTCCATTAGCCTATTTTTCATTTAAATGAAATAGTGTTACAAGAATATCTTATATCAAAAATTATGTTTGAAATTTGAGTCAGTGACGTGTTCTTAAATAACCCGTTTCTTTATTTCTGCAATTTATTGTGGCTTCAAAATTATCCTAGTTTCTCGACATGTGATGTACCATATTTTACACCAATTTCATTGCACATTTACCGAATCAAACCCGATCTTGTCACGGGATAACCGTGTTTTAGAATTAATTAGGCCGTCATTGATGTCTCAGTAACGTCCCGATTATTTTCGCAACCTCAATACGTCGGCTCGTCAAATGTCCAAGTAGGCTACATTATCATAACAAACCAAATTTAACTTTCCGTTTTAGTGTGTTAATGCATTTTTTTCTAGTTTACATAAATATACAGCATTCCTTGCACTTACTTTTTCTATTATACCTGCTAATTAACGGTTGTTATCGCCATTTGAAATTTTATAACGGTACTGAACGTAACGATAGGTTGCAATAGTAATACAATGTTTAGAAAACAAACACGGATAATTATTAATTATGTCAAGTGCTGCGGCGTGGTAACTTGTAGTGGCTGCAGGCTGCAAGCAAGCGCATTGTCATGGGCCGCGCTTCCAGTGACATTGGCTTTCTTACTGGCGCTGATAGTACGGCTGGGCGCGCACACGCACGCCGCACGCCGAGTTGCGCGCGCGCCTCCACGCCTCGCGACCGCGACCGCCCGCGCGGCACCCGCGCCATGCCCGCAGTGAAAGTATTCAACATATTCGGCGCCCAGAAGCCGCACGATAAACAACCCAATTCGCACTCGAGTTCGCCCATGCAAAAGTTTTACAGGACCTTCTCAGTCCCCCCGCAAACGTCCAATGAGAAAAACACTAAAGTGACCGCGATCGCCGCATGCTTAGAGAAGCGCATTAGTGAACCGAAACTGAACAATGATAACGTGCAGAAGTTTTCGAAAAATAATAGTGGTGTTGTGAACGGTAAATCGGATAATTCTAAACACGTGTACGAGAATGTAAACATTGTCAGTGAAAACAAATGTGTGCAACGCGATTTATTACTTGACGAATCAAAAGGGTATTCATCGATCTACGAAAATATTGTGATTGTAGGAAAACCGGACCCCAATAAAGAAGTGATTGGGGAATCCAAGTTAAACAAAGCTCTTCAGTCTTTTGATAAAATTTTGACTGAATTTTCTGAAAGTGCATCTTTGTCTACCGAATTTGTCGGAACGAGAAGCAATTTTATAGTGCCTAAACTACAGAAGTCAAAAACCTGCAGTATTATAGAATCAAGGTGTATATTAAAGAAAACTAATTCAGACCCACAAAGTGATAATAAAACACGAAGCAAAGTGGTACGTAATAATTCTATTGACAAAACAACCAGTTTGTGGAATCTTGCCGATATGAAAGGCAAAGAGTTGACTTCACCATTAATGCCTTTGGCACCTACTACTATCGATAAAGTGAATCCGGATAAGTATGCCACTTATAAAATCTCGTCTAAAAACCCGTCTCGTTTGAACTGCATTAAAAACGAAGATATAAAAAAACTGGATGTTAAAACAAGAATATTAAAGAAGACTTTATCTAATCCACCGTCGACACCTGTTCCGGTTATATCAAAACCGAAGCCGTTAACTAAAAAAACCGAGAAAAAAACAAGCGAACTCAAGAAAATGAAACCTAAATCATGTACAGATAATGGATCGTCCAATATAAAGATGACCATAGAAAGTAAAGATAATCCGAAATCACAAATGCAGAAAGCAAAGAGCGTGTGGGAACTCGGGAATGAAATAATAATATCGCCTAACTTAGAAAGGACGAAGTCCTCTACTTCTATCGCGGGCTCTCCCAGCAAGATCCCGGTGATAAGGAGTCAAATGTCGCATAACAAGTTCAGTAGTACTCGGGCTCTATTTTCTCCCACTCCTGTTGATCTAAATAATGTAGACCAGGCCAGAGAGTGTGCTCAGAAAAAAAAGTTGATCGCGCCCAGGAAATCTACGGAAAAACTCGATATAAATAAACAAGTCAGACAAAAATCTCAACTTTGCTTAAAGACTGAAATAAAACGTCAATCAGATAAAACTAAGAACTATGCACCGGATATCAAAAAAACGATAACGTCTCCGAAACCCTCGCTGAGAGATTATACGGAAGAAATTAATGCAGTGCGCGCTAAGATACAGCAAAGAAAAATAAACAAAAGAGACATCGTCATAGCGTCGACGGATTCCAAACGGAATGAAAACGACGCGGAAGAAATCGATTCGATACTGACACCTGTGAAATCGATTGTAAAAAAGTTAGAACTAAAAACAGCTTTGGAATCGAAAGCTGATGCAGCACATTTCCTGAGCTGCAAAGTGATCCCTCCGGTGCATAAGGAGCTCTGTGTCGCGAACACAACTTTCCATAACCACTTGAGCACACTCGTGGGCCGGCAAGTAAAATACGTGGAATCGAGAGATGACTCGAAGACGTGCTCCCAAGTGAAAAAGCTCGAGTTACATAAACAGAGCGATGAAAAGATAATATCAGATACAAACTCGGACTGCAGCGACGACTCCGGTCACGTTTCGAACGACGCCGCGAACGATAACGACCCGGCGTTCGATAACGTGCACGACTTGAGCCCTGTGCATAACTCAACGGATGTAGTGGATTGCAAATTCAACGCTCCCAAACAATTTGGGATAAGTTTACCAGAGAATGCGAAGGCCGTGTGTCCCGTGCGGCCTGCGAGGCGCAACGCGCGAAACATCGAGGTCGATAGCGGTACCCGCGCCACCGACGCTCCGAAAGTGGATGAACAGGTACGAGACTCTGTTAACATATCGATAATAACAAAATACAGGTGCTGTTTCTCGCTATGATACTGAAACGAACGCTGCGCCATTCAGATCACTACAGATATGCCAATAGTAACTAAGTCAAACTGAACAGACCAGTCAAACGAGATTTGCTCGAAAGCTGTCTGCGCACCTGATGTCAATATTAACGACGCTAGCGGGTGGAAAGACCTCCTTCCTATTCATATGACAGCTCTTTGAAATTTGTAAATAGGCTCGCGTTACTGTAGAGTCGGTCTGAAAGCGCTCAACAAAATATGAATTGCATATGAGCAACTATTGATGACTAACCATGTCAAAACGACATCGGCATTTATAATTTTGAATTTTAAGTAAGTTAAACTTCTTTTCCATACCATAAATACCGACATAAATACCGCACGGTCGTGATAATATTATTCATATTTATTAGTAATAAAATTAATACCCCTGCAATAAAACCAACCAATAAAACGATTAGCGTGAAGCCACTGTTTTTACATAATTCACTAAATAATTCCACAACAAATTTATGAAGCACAATTTTGCATAACGATTCGTGTCATATCATTTTTAACGGCATAAAAGTAACGAAAGCTATAATCTTTGGGGTCAAATAGTTTTGTTTTTATGTCATAACCGTTATCTAATGCTTTCGAGTCGAGCAGTGATTGTCTTTTCAAACGTCAAATTTGCATAAAACGACAATTCGTTACTAAGAGTGGACATTCATAAATTATGTAATAAGTGCATTCTTCAGTAATCGTCAGTAGTAACTTATGGGATAGTAATTTACATATTTGTTTTACTTTATTCATCACTATCTGCTTTACAAGCGGTTTTTACGGGTAATTTACACTTCCAAATGAACGTAGAAAGTTCAGAGAAATCCTAACGATTCTATAACTTAACAGCAACACATACAAAAGATCGTACTTTTTTTATCGAAATTAAGTTCTAATTAGGTAAGACAACGATATTAAATACCCTAGATACAACAACACGAACAAAATCATGGCCGAAACCTTTCCAAAAGGTACATTGGACGATCCACAGAGCTCCGTAAGATGATCGCGTAGTCAAAAACAATATAAGTCATTTTTTAAACATTGAATGTCAACTTTAATACATACTGTATAAGGTCCTAATTAAAACGCATGCGTCAAAAACTTATGACAGTTCGTAGTGCAATCTCGTTAATTTTCGACGAAATTTTACGACATTGCTATATGCGAAGAATATAGACCTTATTGTTTGATTTTACGCGCAATTCTGAATTCGCTGTTAGCAGGTACGAACCGCGAGGAAAAGCGACGGCTATACTGTATAACCGACCATGCATTTGAATATCAAAAATATTTTATATTAAATCAGTTTATAGTAAGTGTTAGAACAAAATTTGCTTCAAATGCATTGAATTAACAAACATTGATTAGACACCTGTCGAAAAAACATCACTTTACGTACTATAAGTATTTTTTTTTCACGGAGCTCTGCGGCATCTTGACTTTTCAACGATCCGCGTGTGACTGTGAACCAAGAAATGCTTGAGTCGTGTTCAAGCACTTCTTGATTGGGACACGTTTTGAACGCTAATGGTGTATCTAGGGTATTTAATATCGTTGATGTAAGATCTGAATGATTACCAGAAATTCGAAGATATAATCATCATCAATTATTATTAATCTCTCCACTGCGATAGGGAGAATGATTCATGACTCACCACGTGATTCCAGTGCGCTATGATGTATGCTAATGACTGCAGATGCAGCTGGGGCCAGCGTCTAAGTGTGCCTTCCAAAGCACGATGAAATTTGGAACTCGAGATAATATTTTTGGACACTCCATTCATCCCATGACCAAAGCAAAATAGGTTAACTTCCACGATCGCAGAGCAAACGTGCCATCAAGCATTCTAGACGCAACGCAACGTCGGCAGTTCATAGGAGAATTCGAATTATTGAAAGAAGTTCTATGTCTCTCTTGCTCACCAAACAATTTATAATTTCAACAGGTGTGTTTGTGATCCACAAACCACAATGGTCATTCTGAGGCCATATTTATTTACTTGTTTACTTTCACCGATAGCTTTGTATGGTGCGCACATGATCGTCATTACCGCTGAGAACGCAATATTACGTTCGTGCATGTAAACATTGGATAATATTGGCAGCTTTGATAGTAGGTACCTATTTATGGATTGCTCAACCAATATGTTACGCTTGTTAGATAACATTGATATTTATAACAAGTTTCTAAGATAATATCCGGCTTGCTGTTTCTTGACTACTTGCGTGTGGCTTTCCGGCATGGATATGTGGATTTTTACTTCAGCATTGATGTGTTGCCATTAAAAACTTGACACTTTCCTGTCTCGACTTTCTCACATAACTGTGACAACTCATTTTCTATAAATAATTTTATCGCTTAAAGTCTTGCAATGTTTTTGTCCGCTGTAAATATTTGACGTAATCGAAGTGTTTGCTTTACATGCAACTTAATAATTTCACACGAAGACGTTGCAAGTGTCTCAAAGAATGAAAGCACTATTAGGTACACTTTCTATTCCGACGTTTATTCCAAAATTTATGACTGGCTTTATGAATCATTACTATATTTTACGATGGGGTTTCAATCATAGTATACAAAGAATGGAAATTGGCTTTCAATATATCTTATTTCCTCATTTTCAATCGACTTGTTTGCGTAACAACATTCAATTTAACTATTTTATTCTCTCGCTCCGTCGTTGGAGCTTCAATCTGCCCAGTCACGTATGCAATTTCTAATAAAATTGCTTTCGGCTATAAATTAGGCATTAGGCGATTTCTGTTCACGTCTGAGCAAGGCGCATGCTCATCACGTCCTTGCTTTCCCTTGGATCAAATCGCAGGGAAAGCCTCCCGCATCTGACATAACGGAAACAACTGTTGTTCTTGTAACGGTAACAATATTTGCTCTCAGCAAATAACCTGATGATGGTAATACTGAGATAAACGGAAAACCAACTTGTTTACCCCACTGACACTAAATAGAACTAGGCACATCCATTATAAGTTGTTTACATTTCGGTTTCTACTAATTATGTTTTGGTTTGTTATTGCGATGATCTTTATCTTAGTTCTCAAATACATGTGGATTGTCTTTTTATGTAATTGATAAATATCTGTAGTTGTTCTGAAAAGCCAAATATTGTCATTTTAGTTATTCCCATTGAAACAATCTTTGGCTTGAAATAAATAAAAATAAAACTGCTTTTATTTCGTCTCCAACACAATGGTTGCAATTAAGTGAGCAATCGCATTTTTTTATTGTTCGTATGTCCGGCAAAGGGGAAAGTCTGTTTACAATGCGAGCTGAAGTAATGATTGACTTGTATAATTCTTTCTGTAGTTGTAATAGTTATTATAACTATTATTATGTATCTTTTATATGTTCTTTCGAACATGAAAGTTCGTTAATGAAAGTGATCCAGTTGTTTTGTATCGTTGTCGAAATGTCTGATTCAAATGTACAGGGTACATGTTATGATGATGTTTATACACTTCAACTACAAATATATTTTAAAACGTTACCTTTCCATTTTCAAGTATGTAGTAGGTATTTGTCTTACTGGCTAGAGATTATTATAGAGAAATTGCTGTTTAAGATACACGAAGCAGTTTCAACAAACACTGTTGCTGACGTATGACCCACAGTCAATGACATCGCGTTTCTCACATACTGTGTTATTGTTTTTTTTTAATATATTCATAGCTCTAGAAACAGACGTATGTACTTACACGCATCTACTCGGTCTTACCTAAAACTAAGTTTGGTAAGTAGATAATTTATTGGTTTTGATGTAATGTAGTATTGGTAACTCTGTGTGCTTATGTAATGGTTCTTGTTTGTTTTTTGTTTTGTCAGTGGAAATACGCACGTAATCAAACTATCTTTTACTGGATATTTTCCTGTTATTAATATAATTTTTAGGAAATTTTTAGTGAACGCTTCCATCGAATATAACAATCTCCAACATGTCATTTTGAACGCGTAGACGACCAATTTGCGAATACATTTGATGTTCAAATTGACCAAGTAATTGAGCAGCCGCAACAAGACAGCTGGATAACACACTTGCAGGGTCATCAATTCGTCATTACCTTCGTTGTTTTTTGTCGAAAAGTCTTCAGCGAATTAAGATGTCTCTTTCTATAAGCGTTAGTAAAACTAGGTGGATTTTAATCTATGTACCGAGACATATCTTGTAACAACTCGAAAGTTGTCAACCAATTTAAATCTTCATTAATTCGATGATGTGTGTTATAGTATCTTATTGTATTACTATTATTGACTGTAAAAACTTTAGTTATACGCTGCAGTTGATATTACATCAATGGTTTAGAACCATTTTTTTGGATATTCCATGTATTTTTTACTTATTTGGAATCTATAACATGTGACCACTCACCTTCAGGTGAACAGCCAGCTCGTTTGCCTGCATAAATATCTATACATATAATAAAATGGTAGGAAAGTCAAAACTGTACATTGAATATATTTTTAAAAGCATACTTGGGGTGTGATCTACAATCGATACCGAAGCCAAATATATAGTTTTTAGAATTTTGTCTGTTTGTCTGTATGTAAGTCCGGGATAAACTATACACAATAAACATATAGGCTACATATTATCACGCTATCACCTACGGGGAACGAGCAGTGAACCTTTATTTCTAACTAACTCCACGCGTACAAAGTCGCGGGCGGCCGCTAGTTATGCCAATAAGATTTCTATACGCAACGGTATTTTTGCTCGCAAACAACATAATACACAGCCCTAGGCCATATTAGATTGGTCTCAGATTGGCGCGCCGCAGGTGGCTGCGAGTTGATTACCGCTCCACGCGATGTTAAAGAGTTATCATTATCGGTGTATAGGTATGATCTTCTTGCATATGGACAATATGACCGGTACATTATAATCAAACTTTTTGTGACAG